CTTCTCGTACCATAAAATAGAACTGCCTCCTTCTTTTTAATCACAATACACAGACACATTGACATGAAATCCCATATTAAAAAATATATCTATTTGTAATAGCAGCAGATGGCTCACTTGTAAGGAGTTTTATGTAAAATGTATTTATTACCAAACTATGTACAAGCATATAAATAAATTTAAATTAATTATATTATATTCATTATTAATTCTATTATTATCCATCTATTTAGGACAGACAAAACAAAAAATTATAAGTACATATATAGTTTATAATTTACGTTTTCATTCTAATTTAATAAATAAACATTTTTATTTAACGAACCGAATTCAAATTTTTATATTTGAGATTCAAGAAAATAGTGGTATGAAAAGCAAAATTGCAAATATTGTGATGTATTTGCTTTCCTAAAAAATCTTGATGCAAATAAAAAATATAATTCGTGGAATTCAACGGAAAGGAGAATAAAATTATAGTGCGTGTGTCGCTTTGTCTATGTAATTATAGGCTCTTCATGTGAAATGTAATGCGTATCCGACCTGTTGATTAAAATGGTTACCTTTTCAACTATTTTACTATTTTTTTTTGTGTATATATCATATGCATCTTTGTTCAAATTTTACTGTAAACCGGTGTATAACATTTTTTCTAATTTACCACCAATAACATAAATACAGCCAAAATTGCGATTAAACGACAATTGTCGCTAGAAGTGGAAAAGAATTAAAACTACATTCAAGATACGGATTGATGCCTTATATACATTCTTCTTTAATAGTGCCTAAAAATGAGAGTTATGAAAACAGACACTGTTTACTTATTTGGTCCATATCATTCTAATATATGGAACAAATAGTAATTTATTTAGTTTATGTATTAGTAATAAAGAATACCTCACTTTTTTTATTTGTTGCTTTTTAGGAACTCTATTTAATTTTTTTTAATTCCGAGCCTTACAGGCTTCTCACCGTAAATAAGTTTTTATGAAATAGGTCTTGAAACTGCTCAAAAACGTGATATGTACAATATTATTAATAGTAATACTATTAATAATATTCTCATAGATATTAGTTTTTATGGTGTTCTGGGAGGCTTCTTCTTAATTCTTCGTTACATGGAATTGGTTCCACAAAATTATTTTAACGTGTTAATTTCTTGCTGCATGGTTTTGATTTAGTGAAAGAGGTACGACGTTGTAGTTTACAGAACTGGTAACTGGCAACATACCAGAAGTGCATGAATGACAGAGTATCTTGTTGATCCTTTCTTTTACAGGAATGTAAATTACGACAATAAATTGATAATATTTTACGCAAACAATAAAAGAGATGAAATCATCTCATCACTGGAATGTTGTCCAAGCGTGGGAAGTTATACCTAGTAGCGTGTAGTTAAATTAATTGAGAACGCTCGGTGTAACGCCGAGATCTGTCTCTAGTATCACTCAGCGGCCTTGTTCCTTACTTTGATAAACGGCGCTATAAACTGTAGATATTAGGTTCAACGAGGTTAACTGGACAAATTTATGGGAAAGAATAGTTGAAATCCTAATTGTATGGGTTCACCATAAGATATAGGATTCAAAATTATTTACTAGTATTTTTATATGACTTAGAACGATAATATGGAATAATACTTGATTCATATCCAGTAACTATATCACTATATTTCATCTTTCAAACCAGAAATGTACGCACAGCTGCTTGGCAGTAGATGATGATGCAATGAATGGGATAGAAGAGTCGATGCAGGCGAAATTGTACAAAGTCTGCCTCTACTAACAAACAAGTTACTTCCTTTTTTATGCAACTTAGAATGACAAACAAGCTGACGGTCCACCTGATGGAAAGTGGTAACCGTCGCCTATAGACATGAATTTCGCTCATGATACCTCCCATGTGTTGCCATGCTTGAGGACTCAGGTGTTATCCTTTAAATCGAAACGCACCCATGCAAACACAACTGCTTCATGATAGAAACACGAATGGGACAGAGGTGCTCAAGCAAACGACTTTTACTATATACAAAGTCTCCCTCTGGTACAATACGAGATGTGCAAGTACTCACTAGCCAAAAAAATTTATATATACTCAAAATAACTGTACTTAATTAGCATTTAATATATCTAATAATAATTTGTCGTGTATAATAAATGTCCATCTTTAAAAAATATTCATTTCTTCCTTAGTTATATTAAAAATAAAAGAGTAAATTTGTTTTTTTGTTACTTAGTATTTTAACAACTCAACCAACCAACTCATCCAACTATCGACATATGATATGTAACACGTATTATTTGGGATGGAGATATACACTAGTATTTATCACTGTCAGTCGATATATCCCAGTCACGGGAACGAAGACGATGTTGTAGTTAAGTACAATTGAAATAATATTGTCAAACTTAAGTATATACTAGAATGCCCTATGTTCGAAATATTTGCCGACGGAATAGAGGCACACAGAACCACTTAGAACCCGTGATTGAAATATTTGCGAATCTAGCACCTCACTTAGGTATTTACGTAACATGACGTGCTTAGGGGCGAGGCAAAACCTATATTCTATATTTTGTTCCGCCACTACATATTAAACTTCTACGTTCAACGTGAGCAAGATAAATTTTGCCCGAGGCCCTTTAACGACACAAAAAGATTGCTTTAATAAAAAAATTAAAAAAGAATGTAAAATTATAAAAGGAACGAAATGGTTTTTATTAAAATCTAAAATTATATTCCTTTTAAATAATATAATTATTCTACTGTATTTTAATTGAATTTTCTAATCGTATCTATTAGGTGCAATAAAAATTTAAATAAATATATTAAATAGAGATAATGAATAAAAAGCACAAACTTTTCTTTTATACCTTATGTTTTGTAAACGCAATTTCAAGTAAATACTCGTAGTACCAATATATGTACCTGACTTTATTTATTGCAGATATTTCTTTTCAAATTGCGCCGCGTCGTCACAGGCATCGTTCTCACAAGAGACAGGAATGAAATGCGATGGTTTCATTAAGCATTTAGCGCAGTTTCTTCGGCCGTCCACGTATTTCCACCAATATTCCACTCAGCACATTGCACTAAGGTACATACTGAAAATTTATATTGCTTACTAATAATTATGACCCTAAGTGTATGAAGGACGCATCTGCCTTATTAAAATTTTAGGATGATAAAATATAGTGTTTTTGCGTCATGCATTTTATTTATTTTATTTTATTATGCATGCAGTTAATTTCATTCATCCGCGATAGTCCATGGTCCATGATTAGACTATGATAAGTTACAATTCATATCGAATCGAAATGGTGGTACCAAAAATTGTTGTTGAAAATAAATATAAACACATAAATATAAAAAAACCCATACTAACTAAAAAGTAATACTTAAGAATCAGCAACGATGGTTTCTAAAAGCAACTGCGTGGAGGGTCTACCTGGCAGGGTATGTTGTTAGAAATGGGGTAATGAGGTCGCTAGTTTCGGTAACTCAGAATTTCTTTATTTATTTATTACTTAATCAAAAATTCATACAATGTAAATGGTATTATTGTTACAAATGCAAAAGTTTGTGACCATCTTCTTAATTTTCTTTTTCACACAAAAACTTAACGGATTTGAATGAAATATATGGATTTATTCTAATGTATGGTAATGGATTGATAACCCCGCCTGCGTTATCAATATACACTGGCAGAGCATCAGTAAGGAATGATAGGTGATGATGAAGGAGGTCAGTTGGCCCATCGTGGCCAATTCAATATAGATCAATCACGATGGTTTACAAGAGGAACCGCGTAGAGGTCGGCCTAATAGGGTAAGTTGCTTGCAATGGGGTTGCTAATCCTTATTACTAACAATTTTTTCTCCTCCCACACGGATAGGTTATATCCTAACATAAATATGTACTGTATATAATCTTTCACACGGGCGAAGCCACGGGATACAGCTAATACAAAATAAAGTTAAAATTCACTGCATATAAATAATCACCATATATTAAGTTCGTCAAATATGTATACAAACAATCATCAAAATTCTCCGCAATAAACATAAATTAAACTAAAATTATACAATAACAACTTAGAATCCAACATAACAATTTAGTTCCAATTAAAAAGCTGGTGGCTTGCTAAATTGCTTAAAATCATATTAACTCCATATAAGACAACTAAAACTGTGAACCTTTGAGCACTGTATCCCAATCTCAACAGCAATCCAATATAAGACCAATTGATTAAATCAGGAATTTTTTACCATAAAAAAGACTTAGAGTTTTGTATACTCGTATGTACCTATGTTGTATATGTGACTACGGTATTGTTTAATGAATGATAATGTATAATTAATGGTAAGCCTGTGTACACTGTTGATATAAAAATGCAGGCCAGTTAGCTCATCGTGATGAATAGGTCTGGAATTCAACACAATGGTTTTCAGGGAGGACCACGTAAAGGTGGACCTGGTTGAGTATCTTGCCAGCAATGGGGACCCTAGTCTCTATTACTAACAACCTCTTCCTCCCCGGATGATGGGTATCATGATAATGATAATAAAAGCGTCAAAGGTAAGAAGAGTCAGTATCGTCCTAAGGACTTTCAAAACATTAGGGTTGTTATAGGTATCACGGTATATCTTGGTAAATAATGTACATGATGATTATGTCTTCACATAACAATTCCTATTTTCCGTTAATGGACTCTTAGGTTTTTTGGCCTTTTGATATATACTTGTATATAATTTATTTATAAAAAAAAAATAGAAAATTCGATGTAAATCTGTGTGTACCATAAGAAATCATTGTAAATATTACTTAATCTTGACATTATAAATGCCTACTTTCCTTGTAGTCTTCATATTGATTTAATTTTAATAATACCATCGAATGTTTAACAAGTGGGATTGACGACTGGACAGGTAAGGACATAATAGCCGTAGCGCCCAACCGTAGCGTCCTCGTCCTCGTAGCTCGTGCGCCGTTGCGACTGAGGGCGGATGCGCGCGATTCAGTCAACAAGTAGCTTTCGCTGCGTACGCGCACACACCAGTGCTCGTAACTGACAGTTATGCCTGTAACCGCATCTCGTAATCCATCGCTAATTACGACTGGCTAGCTATACAAATTTTTGTGATCTCGTGAGTTCAAGACTGATGTTGTGATATATATAATTAAATATGGACGTATGTGGTTTGTGCGGATGCCGGTAGCCAGTGGACTCGTCGGCTGTGGTCGGTGGGCACAATGAGCGAGCTGAATTGGCACAAATGGCTAGTGTTGTCGCTGCTCGGATTGGCTTTGTCCGCTCGGCCAATTGGCTGCGATTATAGTTCCATCACCGAGAAATTTGGAGCGGAAGCCGTGGCTCGGTGCAATGAAAAGTGTCCATTCCAGGTTCGCTATGCAAAACATATACTGATTGACCTGATATAAGTTTGACTTTATCTGTATCAAATTATGTATTCAATTTTTTTTGTACTATCTATCCTTATACTAGATCTTTTATGGAATAGACAGAGACAACCAACTGTTGGGAACATCCGCTATTATAACAGAGGTTTAGTTATTAATCTATATACTATAATTACTCTTCGTTCGTATAGTAAAAAAAAAAACAACAATAGATGTATACTTACAAATAAAGTATTGCTGAAAGCAATCTTTTCAATAAGGCAACTTTATCTTGTTGCATTAATATAAATAAGTGCTTATACTAGTAGGTAGGTAGTAAACTAAAGGTAGGATAAAACTATACTATATTTTAATTTAGCTATATACTATAATATGATCCACCTGTTTCAAATTTTATTACCCACACATCCAAATATTATTTAAAAACACATGTTTACAAAATTATTTTATATCATTCTAAACAAGTATTAAAGTATTTAGTAAATATTATTACAATTTCTGATCATTTTAATAACTATCTATATAGATATTACAATTGTTATGAATAAATAATTATTTATTAAAGTAAAACTGAATGTCGTGCTGTAATCCTTAGTAATCTTAAAAAAAAATATATAAAAATGATTTTGCTTATTTGTTTCCAACCGACTTCAAAAAGAAAGAAGGAAGGAAGCTTTCAATTCGGTTATATTTTTTTTTTATATTTGTTACCTCATAACTCTGTCAAGCTGTATATGGATTTGGATAATTCTTTTTTTTCTGAAAGGATGTACAGTAGGCCCGTTTTACATACAGAAATTTTAACATTTTTTTTATACAACTTAGAATGGCAAACAAGCTGACGGCCCACCTGATGGAAAGTGGTAACCGTCGCCTATAGACATGAGCAGTACCCTGGACATAACAGTAGTATACTGTTTCGTCCATGATATCCCCCATACATTGCCACTCCTGAGGACTCAGGTGTTATTCCTCTGTACCCAGTAAATTCACGCCATATCCCACCTTTCAAACTGAAACACAGCCATGCAATCACAACTGCTTCGTGGTTGAAACACGAATGGGACAGAGGTACCCAAGTAATCGACTTTTGTACAAAGTCTCCCTCTGGTAGTAGTTTAGTTTTAAATCAAAATAACTAGTTTTACCACAATTTAAGATGGTTATTTTGTGGAAACTATTTTATTACCTCTATGCGTCTTAAAAATTAAATAAATTAGTTGTTATGAAATTTGGTATATGTATAATATTTGAGGTCTAGAAGGATAATTAGAGAAAAATAACATTATCTGTAATGAACAAAAGGGTTTTCGAAAAAATAAAACTATAAATATGGCGATTTATGATTTTTTGGAAAAAGTTATGTCCGAAATTGATAAAACTTCACCTGTTTGTTCTATATATTGCGATATGACACAAGCATTTGATCATGTAGACCACAGCATCCTAATACGTAAACTCGAGGCATATGGGATAAGGGGTAATATCCTTAATTTGATAAAATCATATTTATCAGGTCGACAACAAATTACAGAAGTGACAAGATTAAATTGGAAAACAAAAAAGCAACAAACGTTTACATCAAAACAGTGCACTGTAACATTTGGTGTACCCCAAGGTAGTGTGCTGGGTCCCCTTCTTTTCCTAATATATATTAATGACTTGCCTAACTTTGTTGACCAACCTATGACGTTATTCGCTGACGATAGTACAGTTACTGTAAATTGTAATGATATTAATTTATATGAATATATTATAAATAAATCTCTGACATCAATAATTGCTTGGTTAAAAAATAATAATTAGGGAATTAATTTAAAAAAGACTAATATTATGCACTTTAATCAAAGAACACAATCTAAATCTAATATTAAAATAATATATGAAAATAATATTATAAATGAAGTTGACACGGCTAAATTTCTCGGTCTAAATATTGACAAAAAACTAAACTGGAAAACTCATATAGACGAAATAAACAAAAAAATATCTAGCCTGGCATATCTACTGTACAAGCTGTCTAGGACCGTAAACAATAACGTGCTACTTACTGCTTATCATGGTTTAGTAGAATCGATATTAAGATATGGCATTATTTTCTGGGGTAACTCAACAAATAAAGATATGGCTTTTAAGATGCAAAAAAGATGTATAAGATCCATGTTTGGATTGAATATCACAGATAAGCCATTATTTACTAAACATAATATCCTCACTCTTCCGTCCTTATATATATTTGAAATGGCCTTATTTGTGAAGTTAAATCCAATCTTATTTCCACGTCTATCTGATAAAAATTATCGAAAAAGACGTAATAAAAATCTATTATGTATACATCCAGCCAAAACCACTTTATTGCAAAAAAGCATTATATGTATGGCCCCAAAAATTTATAATAAAATTCCAGATGTATATAAAAATTTAAACACAAACTTATTCCGGAAAAAAACTGAAAATGCTACTGATTGACAAATGTTATTATAATATTGACGAATTTTTAAATGACAACCTTTAATATGTTTCTCTTTCGACATTTGCTATTGACATTGTAATTCCTTTTGACTTTTTATTTAGTTTATATCTAATCTTCACAAAATATTAATATGTTTTGTAAGGCATGGATAGATAGGGGGCATGGATTTGCTTTGTAAGGCACTTGAAATTGCCACTGTCCTTGAAATAATATTTTGCACGCTAATGTTAGCAAAACATGTTAGGACTATACAAATCCTACAATGAACAACAAGTATGTCTTTGCACTTACTATGTACACATGTTTGCAAATAAATTTATCTTTATCTTTATCTTTATCTTTATCTTTATCTTTATCTTTATCTTTATCTTTATAATTGCAACTTTTTATCTCGATCAATTAATATATCCCGCTCAATCAATCAATGTTCGTCCGACAAAAAATATATGGTAGATGTAGATGAAGCCTATGTCAGGCTAAATGAACAAAAGAAAATTACTTTTCACGAAAAACTTGCTTTTTCGATGTAATATTTTAGCTCGGGCTTAAAGCATTTTGTCTCCCAATTTTCATGTAATAGTTATATTTAGTAGTTATACGCATAAAGCGCATTTACTTTAGCGCTTACTTCCTGCAATAATCATTGTAATGATATAACAATTATTTTTCGTGCTAAGTGTTTTTTATTTTTATTATTATAATATTGCGTGATATTTATTATAGTAGTTTATATAGGTGTTATTATTTTCTATCGACGTTGATAAAAAAGTTATCATTGGGTTATTGAACGTAACTGAACGTGGATGATCTCGGTTTATTTGTTTGCGGCGCTAGCAGGTTCAACGCACATCTAAGCAATTGTGAACAATTAGCGAACTGCCGTAATCAACGCAGTCGTGCTAAATATAGACCGGCGTCCCTATACAACACCCGGCCACTAACGGGACACTCAAATTCTGGCCTTGATCCTTAATCGCGTATCTAGGACAATTAGCCCAAAATACTGTCTAATCTAATCTGTTTCCGTCCAGGTGAAAAAGCTTATTTCTTACTATTACTTTGTTATAATCAATTGTTGACAATTTCTAAACCAAACTAAAACTGCAATAGACTTTTATAGACCTGATTGTGCATTTTTATGTACATTATTAAAGTACGGTTTTAATTTACTAATAAGTAATAGGATGCTACAAGTATACTAATAATCTTTATTTTAAATACAAATGTACACAATACACTATTCTGAGAGCCTTTGTATAATAATTCATAGCAGATTCAACAGTCTATAAGTATTCCTATTTTAACAAAATGTTGCATCTATTCCCCATTTTAAACGTCAATCAACATTATGGGGTTTTAAACTTCAAAAAGCAAAACCACAAAGTATCACATTTCATTATGAAGCCTCGTCGATGCGGCTGGACTGGATCCGGTCACACGCTTGCAAAACGCCAAACTTGCTCGAAAGTACGAGATAATACTAAACATGAAAGATTTAATTTACTGAGTTCGTAGTGATCCAGCCCGGCTTCGCATCTTTTTTTAATACAGTCCATGTTTCTCGTTGATAATGGAGCTATATATAGGTGAAAGAATTTTTAAAATTTAATAAGTATTTTTTTATCCATTACAAAAAAAAAGAATCATATTTCCCCTTTGTAATATTATATATATGTGGTCTCGGCATAGAATAAACCACCCCTCCCTTTCCCGTGGGTACCGTAAAAGGCGACTAAAGGAACTTAATGGTCGAAGGATAGGCAGCAGTACCCATCTTAAAACATTACTAAAGCCTAACTGCGGTTGCCAACCCACCTGCCAAGCTTGGCAACTACTGGTAAAATCCCTCAATAGGGGAAGGCCCATATTCAGCAGTGGACAGTTAAAGGCTGATATGGAATTTTAAATATAACACATGAAGTACTCGAGAAGGCGAGGCACAAGAAGAAGAAGGCATGAAGTACCTAATAACAAAGACACATCGCATAGATGTAGTTAGAGTTAGTAAATATTTAATATTGACCTAAATGTTGGTAGTAAATGTAACAATTTTTACCCACATGGGTATGTGGGTAAAAATTGTTACATTATTACCCACATACATTAAATTGTCAAATATACTGGAATGCCCAAAAATTATAGAGAAAAACAAAATATTTATATACAAAGTGACATGTCTAGTATATCATAACACATTATCATGTCAGAATCTCGATTTTTCCATTCCATTCGGAATCTCGTTGGAGTTCTACTATACAAAGTATGCATGCTCTTGTAAGTAAATATTTATAAATACTACTGTTCCAGTAGTTATATAATAAAAACTATTAGCATCATTACAATATAATTAATATGTAAAAAGTGACAAAAATACTGTAAAACGAAATTAAATAATCGTAAATAGATCAACTGACAAGTTTTAACACTTAAAGTTTAATAATATAATAAATTGTTTACTATGTGCATACAAAAAATAACAATATAAAACACTACCGGTTAATCCCGAATAAGGATTAAAAGGATTCACTTAAAGTTGGGTAATGCTGATAAGATTCAAATGTTCACTGAGAAATATCTTCAAATCAAACGTCTTTGCAAACTATCAATAATATTATAATATGAGTAGTTTATGATTACATCAATTAGACTGATCATGTCGACGGTTCAATCGAATTCTATTAGAGCAGGTAGAGCGACCCATCCCGTGATTGGCGTCGCTCTGATGCGCACGCGCTGCCGCACCGGATGTTATCAGGGCTCTGGCCACCATTAGGTACATCCTTTGTCCACAGCTATAAAAAAAATTGTGCTTAATTATAAATAATACTCATTTAATTTTTTTTTTCAGAATCGTACTGGAGATGGTCACTTCGATGTTAGCTGCGGATCTAATTGCAGTGTACAACAGGTTTGTAGATCTCATAGTGAAAACAGGTCGAAATTTTCCATTCAATTGGTCTATATAGCTCTTATAATCGTCGTATTGCATATGACCACCGGGTTCTTTTTACTGCTGGAAACGATTGCGTTTCCAGCAGTAATTAAGCTGATGGCCCATTTGATGGTACGCCGTAACCGTTGATTATAAGTACGAACAACACTGTATTATAAATATTCAGCACGTAAATTATTTTGGCCTGTTCTCACCTGTGACTTCATCCACATAACAGAATGTTAACTGTGATAAAAAATAGATTGTATCCTTCTTTTTCTACATATTAAATACAACGTGTATAACAAATTTCATAAAGATTGATTAAGTTGATATGGCGCCAAAAGGTAACAAACAAATTCATTTTTAAATATACTTAATATTAGTAACGATTACTGTCTACTGTTACAAGCGGACATTGAAAACGAATGAAATGTTCCAATGGTAGAGTTGTCTAGCAATGGTCCATTTTATTGATTTTCCTTATTAAGATCAACCATAATTTAATACATATAACCATAACAATTATATAACCATACCTTTTTCTACCCGCCGTACGCAACACAGTTAACAGATAATTTTTTGCTCCGCAATTATTTTCTTTATATAATTTGTATACGAATATTTTCATAATAAAATATATATCAGTGTAATCTATATTGCCTAACCTACAAGGAATATGCAGTTAAACATATACAGGTGCAGTGTGAAAGACATAAACGGGATTCAAGTGTGTTGGGCATAGTGTGACTTATAGTTTGACGACATTAGACGCTTAGACGGTTGAGCTACGGTGAGTCATAACATCTACTTACAATTTACGTGCTACGTTTCGCTGTCGCCGATACAAGATTCCGTATCTACCCACCTGTATATTATTGACTGCATTTTATATCGAGGAAATTAAATACTTATAAATAACTACATTACGCATAAATATGGAAACGTGCTCGGCATGTAATAAAAAATTTAAAACTGACGAATCGCTTAAGTGTAATCAGTGTAATGAATCTTTTCATTATAAGTGTTTAAATATGAGTTTGAATGCTTATCAAAATTTGAAATTAAGTAATAAGCCATGGCAATGTTGTGTATGCATCAATATTACTCGGCGAAGAGGGGACAACACGAATACCCCAGTCCGTAAACCAAATACACTTGACGAATCGGTGATGTCATGTGATGTTACTATGAATCAAAGTGAAATGGAATGTTCCGTGTCTGCTGAAAATCATACTATTTCGCTGCAACAATTTGGAGTTTTGTTGGATTCTAGATTGGAAAGGTTTAAAGCTGATTTTTTCTCAGATATTAAGGCTTCCATAAGAAGTGAGATTCACTTGGCTATTACTGCATTAAAGGATGAATTCACAGTCACCGTCGACTTTTTAGAGGAAGGACAAAAAAGAATCAACGGTACCTTGGCGGCTGCAGTTGAGAGAGTTTCTGAACTGGAATGTAATAAAAACAAGCTTCAGGGTAATATTTACGAACTTGAACGTCGATTAAAAATTTCTGAAAAAACATCTCGTAGCATGAACATTGAAATACAAGCTGTTCCTGAAAAACGCAGTGAAAATGTTGTTGGTATTTTCAAAAAAATATGTGATGTGATTAATTTCCCTATATCTGATACTGAAATTCATGCATGCCGCCGAGTTGCTAAAATTAATTCCTCTTCAAATCGTCCTCGTAACATACTTGTTACTCTGCCATCTCCTCGTCATCGTGACAATATCTTATCTGCTGTTAGAAAGTTTAATAAGGATAACCCTAAACAAACTTTAAGCACATTCCATCTTGGTTACTCTGGAGAAACAAAGAAAATGTATATAGTTGAACATTTATCTCCTGAATGTAAGGAACTTCACTCACTAGCCAGAAGATTTGTTAAGGATAAGGCTTATAAGTTTGTATGGGTAAAATATGGACAAATATACATTCGAAAAGATGAACAATCAAGTGCTGTGCTAGTAAAAAACGCTGAAATGCTTAAGAGACTTTTATAATTTTTTTTTTCTTTCTCACTCTTTGTACTCTGTTTATGTATGAATGCTATCACTTTATATTGTTTTTTTTTCCATATGTTAATATATTATCAAAATGTCAATCGCTTTCGTTCAAAAGTTACTGAATTCTATCTTAATTTATTGAATACCGATTATGAGATAATTTGCTTAACTGAAACTAATTTAAATTTAAGTGTTTATAGTGAAGAATTGTTTGATGAGCGCTACAATGTATTTCGTAGGGATAGAAGTAACGAAACTAGTGTAAAGGCAGAGGGGGGCGGAGTTTTATTGGCTACAAAAAAACTATTGAATGTATCTCGTAGATATGAATGGGACAGTTCAGCTGAGGATCTTTGGTTAACCGTGCATTCTCCATTGTCTAAGTCTTCGGTAAATATTTGCTTAAGTTATTTACCTCCTGATATGCCCCTCAACAAAGTTATTGCATTTTTTGAACACTGTCAAGATATTATTTTAAACAATGGTGAAGCTGGTTCTTTCTTGCTTGTTGGTGATTTCAATATACCTAATATAACTTGGCAACGAGACTCTAATTTGAATATCATGCAGCCTATAAATGCTTTTCACTATAGAGCTTCTATACTATTAGAGACTATGGCAATCTGTAATCTTAGCCAATTTAATCATTTGGTCAATGCAAATGAAAGAATTCTTGACTTGGTTTTGAGTGATTGTGGCAGTATCGATGTTGTGAGCGTTGAACCACTTAGTAAGATAGACAAACACCACCCATCTATAGCTATTAACATAGATTTTCGCCAAGGTGAAATGATTTCTCTTAGTAGATCAAACTCTAATAATTGTAGACCTAATTTTCGTAAATGCGATTATACTAAAATTAAAAATGAACTGAAATCTATAGACTGGATAGCACTGTTTTCGGATTTAGATGTGGACTTGGCTGTTGAATTATTTTATTCTAAGTTGAATGAAATAATTTACCTTTACACGCCTATGCAGAGTTCCAAAAATAATAAATACCCGTTTTGGTACAATTATGCTTTAATACGTTGTATTCGGGAAAAAAACAAATATCATAAAAAATTTAAAATGTATGGGAACCCAAGAGATTATGACACCTTTAATTTACTTCGTCGACGTTGTAAACAGATGATTGATCAGTGCTATAAATCGTTTGTCAATTCAGTAGAAGATGATCTTTCAGACGACATTAAAACTTTCTGGCGATATGTTAATAGTAAAAAATCAAACAATACAATCCCTCAAACTATGACCTACAATAATATAACGGCAACAGAAATACCCGGTATATGTGAACTATTTTCTGATTATTTTAAATCAGTCTTTGAAATTTCTACTGGTGAAGTCAATTATCGGCCACAAATAAACACGCCAGTCTTGAGTAGTTTAACTATAACCTCTAAGGATATAATTAAGGGTATCAGAAAATTAGATTCTAACAAAGGCGCGGGGCCAGATGCTATACCAGCCTATTTTATTAAAGCTTGTGCTGAAGAAATTAGTGTGCCTTTGGAAGTTTTATTTAATAGATCTCTACACTACGGTTCTTTCCCGTCTTATTGGAAAACCGCTTTTATTATACCTATATTCAAATCGGGCGATAAAACGAAGTGTGAAAACTATCGACCGATAAATATACTGTCTTGTATGCCCAAATTATTCGAATCTTTAATATATATTCATTTGTATAACCATGTTAAACAGCGCATAATACCTATGCAACATGGATTTGTTTCTGGTCGATCAACTATTAGTAATCTACTTATCTACAAAAACTACATTTGTAATGCATTTAATAATCGCCAACAGGTGGATTCAATATACACTGACTTTTCCAAAGCCTTTGATAAGGTGAACCATGAACTAATGTTAAAAAAACTTATTTCATATGGGATTCATGGCTCATTGTATCGTTGGTTCGTATCATATATTTCTAATAGAAGTCAAATGGTTGCTATTAAAGGTTTCCAATCTACTCCTGTTATGGTAACCTCAGGAGTTCCTCAGGGATCGCACTTGGGTCCCTTATTATTTATTTTGTTTATTAACGACCTAGTAGACTCTATAAAAAGTGAATGCTTGTTTTATGCTGATGATCTCAAAGTTTATCGCGTAGTGAATAGTTTCAAAGATTGTTTGCAGTTACAGAAGGATCTTGATAATATTTACAAATGGTGTTGTGCCAATAATATGTATATGAACATAAAAAAATGTAACACAATATCTTTTGCTTCAAGGTCTCTAAAATTTATATTTGAGTATAGCATGAACAAGCAAAAACTTAAGCGTAAAGATGTGGTTAAAGATTTGGGAATAATGTTTGATTCAAAGTTATCTTTTCGTGTACATTATGATTATATCATCAGTCGTTGTAACCAGTTGCTTGGGTTCATATACAGAGCAACTAAAAATTTTAATAAACCCCACAGTTTACTATACTTATACAAAACACTTATAAGACCCATTGCTGAGTATGGTACTATAATATGGTCCCCATATTATGCTATTCATGAAGAAAATATTGAAAGAATACAGAAAAGGTGCCTTGCAACTACTTGTAGACGATATGGCTTAGTCAGGAAACTTCAATCCTATGCTTCGCGAATGAAATACTTTAAATTAGATAATTTATTATCTAGAAGACAATCGGCTGAATTAATTTACTTGTATAAAATTGTTAATTCTATGGTTGACTGTCCCTCGCTACTTAATTTACTATACTTTAATACTAACAATAAATGTCGTAACTCCCGTGTTTTTGATGTGCCAAACACTAGGAATAATGTTTCATTTAACAATTCCATTTTAAGAATGTGCCGGTCTTATAATAATGTTCAGCGTGGTGGTGCTCATCAGGATGGTGAAAAGCTTGATATATTTGGTCAGAAGTTCAGTAATTTTCGTCACGACGTTTACGTATTATTTTCCTCTGTAATTAGTAGATAGTTTCTTTTGTTGTAA